GAATCTATATGTTTGACAAGCTAAAATTAAGCTCAAACAATCATATGAAACCCTAGATTTATAATATTTGGCGTATTTTAAATGTCTTACAATATGTTACTCGATTTATTAAGACTTTATTTCTTCCATTTCACATGTGTCTTTAAAAGCAAAATGAGCTCTAGTGCTGGTGGGATTGGATTAGGCGAAAGGTTCAAAAGAGCCTTGTGTAGAAACTAATAAGCCCTTATGGAATTATGTTACAAAATTAGGAAAATTTTTTGGAGGAACTGTGTTATTCAAATACAATTATTGTGGTGTCACCTACAAAGGACCATATTCTAAGGCGAAAGCACATCTACTTAAGATTGGTGGCTATGAAATTAAAATGAGTCATAAGATTACTACCTCGCAATTGATAGAATTGAATAGACAGGTTGATGAAGCTGAATCCACGATCAAAAGGCACTTCCTAAAGAGATATCTTTGTCATCTACCCAAGCTTCATCCAACACTTCTTCCTCCTCCATTAGAGTTGATCATCTTAGTTCATTTATGAGTGAAGGATATGAATCAAAGAGAAAAAAATGAGTTGTCAGTAGTTTTCTAGAGAAAGCTTTTAACATGTAGATGCGAGAGCAACTTGATGGTGAAATTGCAAAGACGTTTTTTTCAGCGGAACTATCTTTCAACCTTACAAGGAATCCTTATTATAAGAATGCATTCACTTTTGCATGTAATAATAACGTTGCAGGTTATGTTCCACCTGGATATAATGCAATAAGATCAAAATCATTGGAGAGGGAATAGCAAATATTGAGACATTACTTGAACCAACAAAAAGAGTGTGGAAAGAAAAATGTGTCAGTTTGATGTGTCATTGTTGGAATGATCCTCAAAGAAAACCACTTATCAATTTTATGGTTGTTACAAAGAATTATCTAATGTTCATCAAAGCTGTGAATTGTGGAAGAGAATTTAAGGAAAAATATTTCATTTCCAATTTAATTAAAGAGGTGATAGTAATGATTAAGAAATCAAATATTGTGCAGGTTATCATTGATAATGCACTAGTATATAGAGCTGCATGATTGTTGATGGAGCAAATATATCCTCATATCTTCTAGACTCCATGTGTTGTGCACACTTTAAATCTTGCTTAAAAAAATATTTGTCCAGTCAAAAATATAGAGGCTAATCAAATCATCTATACTGAATGTCATTGGATAATAGTCGTTACAGGTGATGTTATTCTAATCTGAAATTTCATTATGAACCACTCAATGAGACTTTCAATCTTTCATGATTTCCCACATTTGAAAATATTAGTTATTATAGAAACTCATTTTGCCTCTATAATAATCATATTGAAAAGATTCAAACAAACAAAAAATGCTCTTCAATTTATGGTGATTAGTGAGAAGTGGTATTGCTATCGAGAAGATGACGTTGAGAAGGCAAGATACGTAAAAGAAAATGTCTTAGATAATTTGTGGTGAAATGATACATATTATATTTTAGCTTTTACTTATCAAATTTATGATATGTTGAGAGAGACTAACATAGATAAATCATGTCTACATTTGATTTATGAGATGTGAGACTCTATATTAGCAAAAGTGAAAGAAATTATATACATACATGAAAGAAAAACACATGATAAAGACTCAAATTTTTGGAGCGTTGTCTATACTATTCTTGAGGATAAGTGAAGCAAAAGTAACACACATCTTCATTATTTGGCTCATTCATTAAATCTAAGATAAATTTGAATATATCTTCTAAATTAGTTTTTAATTTGTTGGAAATGAATAAATAATTTTTCATTCTTTGTATTCTTTAAAGGTATTCAAGTAAAGAATAGTTTCAAGAAGACCCTCAACGTGTCTCGCCACAAAAAGATTTAGAATTTTCAAATATGAGAAAGATATGTTTGAAACGATATTTATCAAATAAGGAGAGAAGAAAAATTAATATTAAACTTGCAAAGTTCTTTGGATATTTAGAGAATTTTGATGATCAAGAATCTTTAGTTGATAGATGGATCCAAAGAAGTGGTGGTTGATTCATGGAGCTTCAGCACCGCTTATTCAAACAATAACAATAAAACTACTTGGTCAAGTTTCATTCTCGTATTATTGTGAGAGAAATTGTAGCACATACTCATTTATTCAATCGATGAAGAGGAATAAAATTACTCCACAACAGACTGAAGATTTTATTTAAGTGCATACAAATATTCATCTTCTATCAAGGAAGACCCCACTTTACATGGCAGGTGATAACAAGAAGTGGGATGCTGCTGGAGATGGGTTCGAGTCCCTTGATGATATGGGAATATTGGAGATTGCAAATCTTTCTATTGATGAACAAGAATTGAAAGCAATGATATTCAATGATGATGATATTAAAAACCAAAGACAAACCTCTGAAGCTAATCCTATCATTCCTTCCACTGAATAGTTGAAGCTAGATGCTGTATAAAATAATTTTTAGTTATATTTTTGTGGTTGTATAGAATATTTTGTACTAAATATTTATATATAAGCTAAACAAGTTATCATGACATTGATTTATTATTGTTTGTTATTTTTAATATGATGTTACCTTAATTTCTATATACTATATTCAAAAAATTATTATGTCGTATCCACGCCGCACCCATCCTATATTAAAAAAAAAGCCATGTCCCATGTCATGTCGATGTCGCCGTGTCCGTGTCCGTGCATCATAGTTCAAGATTATTAGGAAACTTAGTTAGCAATGCATATATACTTGAATTGCCTCATAACATATTTATTAGTCTTGTTTTTAATTTAGAGTTATCCAACCTAGCTCCAAGTTTGCAAAAAAAATTTCTGCAAGAGGAAATGAAACCTAATTGTAGATACATATTCAAACGATATTCTTTGAGGTGGAATCTATCATTTCAGTGGAGTCACCTACAGATGGAGGAGATTAGAGATATCTTATTAGGTGGAAGGATATGCCAACTAGTGAAGATACTTGGTTGACTATAAATGAATTGAAGCATCTTGCACCAGATATTTTGAATGATTTTATTAGCACTAACTCTTCAGAGAAGAGCTCTTTTGAGTCAGAGAAAATTGGTGTAGCACCAATACCGAAGACTGGACCAACTACCATGATGCAAACTAAGAGAGCCAAAAAGGAACGAGAAGGACCCATTACTAGGAGCCAAATAAAAAAAAAAACATAGAAGAATTTCTATGTTATTTTCATTTGTGGTGGATATTTCATTATAAATGTATCGTTATTGTATTGTAGTGACTTTAGAGTGCAATAGAGTGAATTTGAGTGCACCCAAGTATCTTTATGTGAGTGCAAAGGCTAGCCAAGTAAGTGTGCAAGTGTGAAAAGTGATTTATTCCACTTAGGGGTTGACCAAGGAAAAGGAGGGAGTAGTTATGGGTAGTTACATGGAGTGGCTGACCTCACTTTTCCCTCCTCCTTCCCTAGTTTGAATTCTATCATGTATGTGTATTTAAGACTTATTTTGCGAATAGAAAGGAAGTTGATTGTGTGAAGAAATTTTCTAATTGAAGAAGAATGCTTGGTGGCTTATTACATGGATATGGTTTGATAATCATGTCCTCCTACACTTGACTTTGGTGAGTCTTGTGTCTGATCCATGGTGAGTACTACTACTCAAACCTCTTTGAATTTTATGTGGAATGTTTAATTTTTCTTTTGTATTGATTTAGTAAATTTTTGCCAACCTTACTCTCTACAAAATGCCCTTTAAAAGTGGTCAGCCAAGGGTGACAGAATTTCGGACCTAGGTGGATTCTCTTGATCTTTTGGTGATCAAACCTTGCCTAAATCTCGTGAAAATTTCAGGAATTGATCTAAACACTTCATAGATCAATTTCTCATAGTTTTCTCTTTTGATTTCACTATTTTACGTTGGACAAAAATCCAAAAACCTAAAACCCTAATTTCTATTTTCACTTTTTTCTCTCTATCCGGTCACTTTTTAATTCTTAAAAATAATAAAAAACTCCAAAAACTTATAAAATTTGGTCGAAATCTTGCTGAAGATGTCCTCTAACATCTCCGAGTGAAATTTCTCAATTCCCCCAAATATTTTGAATTCTAGAACTGCTTTCCCAAAGTTTGTCAGTTTTGGACAGAAAAATCCTTGATTGAGCCTAAAGCCTACCAATGGGCCTCATCTACTTCAGATCAACACTTAACAATTTGCCAGAGGTTCCCACCACCACATCATAAAGGAATGTTAAAGGCATTCCAACTGACTTCTTGTCCAGGACAAAAGTTTGGGTTCGTAATCTGAACAAACAATGGAGTTCCGGCTGGAATCCTCTCAACAGGACCACGACAAGCTCAGACTGGATGTTAGGGACGGAAGCATCACCTGGCAACCCATTATTCATCTTTACCAATAAATTTGTTTAGTACATCATAAATCACGAGTGACCATCAATACCTCCTCATTTTAACTATCTGATTAAGAAGGCTATAAGTACCAACAAAGAATAAACTATATGTAAATTTGATAAAAACAAGTTTATTTCGAATATTGAACATGTTCAATCATGAGCATTAAATGGATGTCATATTCAAATTAATCAATCAGATTCTTTGAGAGTCATGATCTCTCTCAGTGAAAAAGCAAGAAAACTGGAGAAGGGAGCGAGATACGAGAAAAGAATATTCAACATCATAAATGGTCACATAAACCTACAAAGCTAAATGGGAAGGCGCTTGAATGTTTCATCTCGAGTTATCATAGTAGATGCATACTCTCTAGAAGATTCTACCACATAAAGTAAGAAAAAGGCTCAAGCTAAGACAAAATTCTCTGAGTTTCTTAGATGACATTGGACACTTAGGAAATTGCAAAAATACGGCTTTAATTGTACAAAGCACAACATCCTAATCCAAATTATCAAAGTTAATAAAGAGTCAAAGAAGACTCTGCAAAAAGGAAAATAAAATATCCAACTTCAGAGCACTAAATAATAATTTAAATCAAGTACCTTCGGCGCCAAAACAAGCATGGACTTGAGCGTCAATTCACGAAGGAATGCAGAACTATCCGAAAAACCAGTGGCAACATGAGGAAATATCTAGCAGAAAAATTTATAAAAGAGTAAATAATCAGATTTCCATTCAGTTGGTCTACAGTAATAGCAAAGTTCAAGTAGTAATAAATAAGAGTCCCTATTACAGATACATCTGTCCTCACATACTTGCTCATCAACAACTTGAGCTGTTAGTGATTCCCCAAACTGATCTATGTGCTGAAGAAGACTAACTCGGACAGCTCGGTCAGGTGAGGCAAATAGTTTAACAATACTCGGTAACACCTATATTGAAACTGACGTTTTTCAAATTTGGAAGATGATAAAATCCAATTACAAAACAATGTAACTTAGCAGAATTATTTGCAGAAGAAAAGTAAAACAATTTAGATGACCTTGACACTGAACTCATCTATTGAAAGCCATGAACCCATCTTCAATAGAGTCGTCAAGGCGGGGGCGGCAGCCGAACCAAATTCTAGAGCTGAAGCTAGCAATGGAAGTAGCTGAAACAAACAAAGACAAAGTTATGGATTTACAATAGTCTAATGTTAAGTGAAAATTAAAGGACGCTGGCGACCTTTTTAAGTACAATCTGGCGTGGGAGTTGTTCCACTAAATTAGGAAGTTTTCTAAAAAAGGTGTCTTTTTCTACACTGTCCTTCAAGTTTAGGATTTCCATGAACTGTATGGTTTCCACCAGTTTATTTTGAAAGTATTCTGCCAAATAAGAAAATATCCACAATAAATTTTCTCGCAAAGAAAAATAATAAAAGAATAATCGCCATCAATAGCAATATCATACTGGCAGGTCGAAGGTCACATATAAGTCAATGATGAAATCAGCTTCATCAAACTTGTTTAGCAAACAGAATATACAGAAAGAAAGATTCCATTGTTGTGAGCTACAAACAATATTAAAAGGATTCTACGTGCATAACAATAAATTAATAAGTTTACCACTGCTATCGATGAGCTTTGAGGGATTTAGTCTTCTTGATGGAGAGGAACTCAATAATCTCTGATAATCCGGTAGAAGGGACTAACAAAAATGAAAAAAAAGAAAGTTAAGTGTAAATGTAAAGAATAATCAGAGCCAGAAACTTAAAAACAAGAATTTTAATCATAAACAAACTTAAAGATGGCAGGATTCTTTTGCATCAGTGGTAAAAATACGACGATAAAGAAGTGAATACCCCAGCCTTAACACAAAAAGATGATACATATCATAAACAAACTAAAGGAAATAACCAACTATAGTTTCTAACCTTAGGAATAACAGAAATATTACGCAGTTCCCCAGTATTTGACAACTTCATACCAGAGAAGAGTTCATAAATCAGGCAGCCTGACAAAGTTGTAAGCACTAGAATCAGTCTTCATTACAACTAAACATAAGAAAGGCCCTTCAATTGGCATTGTATGACAAGTTAAATCACTAACTAAACATAAGTATAAGATAAATAAAAAAACCAAGTTAAATTCATAAGGAAAAAAAACTCAGATATCATCATTTGGAAAGCACAAATAAAGAACATAGAAGCATGAATGGCAAACTTCAAAGCAATCAAATGGACCACTACTCATCTATTGTGCTAGTAATTTTATCAAGCTTCTAAATGAAACTATTCACAACTAGATCTTGAAGGAAGAGTTTCCCAACAAAACACAAAAACACATTCTGAATTCACATTCAAGTTTATCATGATAAGATTAATGCACATGCATACTAAAGGACATATATACGTAATAATGATACTGTATATGCATCTGAATCTAGTTTAAACACAATAGCTTAGGCACATTTACGGGTATAAATGTAGCCACCAATGTTTAGAACATCATTGGGACATATAGAGAAGCAAGGAAAAATGTGCATCACAATTGATTGTGTGTTGGTTGGAATCAATTGTATATATATATATATAGAAAGAGAGAGAGAGAGAGAGAGAGAGAGAGAGAGAGAGACATGTAATAGAGAGGATGTTAAACTTATTGAAACAATCTGAAATTTAACAGTACATAACAAATTCACCTAGACCCCATGAATCAATTGCCCAGGGCGGAGATTTTCTTATTAAAACCCAATCTGAGTTTGCCAGCTCCATGGGCTTGTATTGCGAACCAACCAGCCATTCATATTGCTGCATCAAGTTAAATAAAGCATAAAATGAAATTTTGATTAAACCAAATAGGAGCAGTGTGACTTTCGAAAAAATAATATGAATACAAATTTCACATGAGAAGCATGCCTCCTCAAGAAAAATATCACTATATAGAGAAGCATGTCATTTTCTTGAGAAGTGCACTATATCGAGAAGCTTACAGTTGCTTTGAGAATCTTAACACAACTCTAAACACACAAATGTGTCAAGTAAAGTACATTGAAAGGTATGCAAATACACCAAAAAACATAGTTTATTGTATAGTTGCATCGAAAAGCATGCAGCCTATTGAAAACCGTGCAAATATTTTATACAAATGCACTGAAAAGTGTACAAGTACATCGTATACGCACATAGAAAAGCATGTAAGCGTGACTTGCAAATGCATCGAAAAAGTATGCATGACACATCTAACTGTTGAAGTCAAAAAAATTCTCACATGTGCTCTGATAAACATGCTAAATATTCAAGCATAAAGTCTAAGAAAGTTACGCGGGCTAAGAATAAGTTGAATTAAAAATTTTAGCAATTTTTAAAAAATTGCAATTGCTCTACAAAATCTAGAAATATTTTTAAATATGTAAACTCATTTTCTCAAAATTAAACTCAACTACATGTGCTCTAACTAAATACATCAAAATTCTAAATTTGAAGTGTGAGAATGCTAAGTAATTTAAAAATAAGGAATGAACTTCAAACCTTATTCATCTCAGAAATAAAAACGTAAATTTCATACAATGAGCTATAAACCTTATTCTTGCAAATGAATATATAATTGCAAAATTTAAAAAAATATTTGATTTTAAGTCTACATTAGACCTTCAAAATATTTTGCAAAGCAAATTTATTTAAAAATATAAACTTCATAAGTCGCCTTGCATATATGGGAGCTCATAATACAAATTTATGGACTCGATCCTCTACCGACAAGCACGCAAAGTTGGCAATATTCAAATAATAAATGAAATGGTTCGAATGCCTTGATGATGGCCATGTAATTGAAGAATATGAACCAGAGGGGATTATATATTTATATCTTTCAAAAATGCCATCAAATCCCAAAACCAATCATTATGGGGCCCGAATTCTAATAAAATTAAAATATAATATCTTAATAAAATTATGAATATAGAATATCTATGAGTAAAATTCATCCCACCAAAATTTAAAATGAAAATCCATTCACCCTCTAGAACCGTTTTTCGAGAGTGATAAACTTAAGAACAATGTCAACTCACAAAGAGCAAATGATTTGTCAAATATATCACTATGATTAATTTTCAAATAATTTCTTGTTAATAAGAACATAATGCACATCCTCTAAGTTGGTTTTTCCTCCAAACGGTACCACAAGTAAACGGTTATGATCGGGGCTCTTTGAATGCATGGTTCTACATAAAATGACACCATCAAATTAGCAAATGGCTAGAGCCCACAGGTTCCTCAATGGCTAAAAAAATTTGAGTAATGAATCATAGATAACTAGATAGGACATAACACCCTTTACTAGCTAACATTGACACAAACTTGTCCCTTTAGACAAACATTCACTTCAACTCTATAATGTATCATTAGAAGAAGCAACACATCCTGACAAAAATCATTCAGTCAAGTTGGGTCAATTGCCCTCTTCTGACAAAGTAGACAATAGACATTGACAACTTAGGACGATAAAATCATGGGATTTAGATCAAGTTTTTAATCATTCCCCAATCATCTGCTTCAAGTGCAATGTGATAAATTTCAAATCATATACCAAAAGTGATGCCATTATACGCTAAGCATTTAGCTTTTAACAACTAGTCTTAATCAAAAGTTCTCTCATCATTGGGAGGGATAATTAACTATAAGGATTTATGCCCATAAAATTTTTGAAACCTGATCATAAAGTCCTCCCAAAATTGGGACAAAATCTTTGGCAGTTTTTTATCTTCAAACTAATATGCCTTATGAAAATTTGGCTCAAAACACCAAAAATTATCTTAGCCGAATCAGGGTATAAATTTTCGGAGCCCAAAACACTACCCAATGCATGACGGAGGGTAGAAGACCCACAATCCTGACAAGTAGGTAAATTTGATTTGGACCCTGATGAGTAGATAAAATTAATTTGAAAGGAGTTAGGGGTTGTGAAGGAAATAAAAAAACCTATGGTAGTTTGGTAAGAATTTGTATATATATATATATATATATAAATTAAGATATCTCATAAAACACTCAATGTGAATGAATGGGGAATGGGGAATGGGGATTCATAAAACTAACTCCAAATAGTTGTCATAAGTCTTATCAATATGATGATATGAATGAACTATGGGCTTAATGAGTGTGCAGTTGGTGATGCTTCTTTTGCTGAATAAAAACAATATAAAATGTGTATAGTACAAGGTTTAGCTCTTTCATATGCGTGTCTCACTAAACTGATTCATATTATTTCATTTTTTTTTCTATTTAATGATATTAATCATACTTGGTAATGATAACAAAAAAACCATGCACCATGGTGTAAAGCATAGCAAGGCACACTTCTCTGCCTTCGGCGATGAGACCAAGGTGTGAAGGTGTTGCATGTTGTCCACACTTCACTTTTACCTTGGTATAAGGTGCATAGGACTCATAGTGCTATCCTCCATTTTTCATTTATTCATTTTTTACCTCCTATATTGCAGAAAGTTGAATGACTTGATTTTTATTTGGTCATGTCACGGTCTCCTTAAAGTGCTTGCCAACCATTGACATAAAATATATAAATATTTGTTTTGCGTCATTTTATCAAACTAAAACATAACTCATGATCGCCTTACAAATATTTGTTTTTGTACTACAATTAATTTTCATGCAGGCAAAACAATCTCCTATTCTTATTATGTGGCGTATTTCTTTATTTTATGATTTTTCTCTTGTCATTAATATTTCATTTCTTTGTTAAATGCTTTGTAATTCGTTAAATGAGCATGTGCCTTGCACCTGTTTTAAGGTTGCTAGAGACCTTGCAACATTGTTCAGGTTGCATGGTACCTTTGTGACGGCGCCATGCACCATTAAAATATCACTAATACGAAAATTGCTGATTTTTACAAAAGAACTGAAGCAGTTTGTCTATGAACAAAACGTAACTAAGCTTCTACATAATACTTGCAATACTTCGATTTATAAAAGGCAAACTAAAAAGTTGCTTGTTTTGGAAAAAATAGATGAATGAATCAAAATGACACTTATAAATGAAATAATAATATGCAGGCCTCAACATACAAGCATTAATCCATTAGGCGCTTCAACATTCCCATCAAATTCAGAAAGGACATCAAATGCATGAAGCTTCCAGTCCAATGTTTGAGTTACCACGATGCTGGTCAAGCACACATTTCCATGCACCTGAAATATGTTATTTCATCAGAGCAAATTAAGTCTTTTTAGCAAACAGTTACTTTTTCTATCGCAGTAGGCAATGCAGTAGATATTAATTTGATTTATAATACCACTATGAATGACCTAATGAATGTTTATGATGATTTTCCAGAACAGCAGGTACGGATTAATTTGATTTACACCATTAAATGCAGGTCATGATAGCTAAAATAAATGAATCACAATCAAACCATCTCTAAGGGCATAACCAATTCACTAGGCTCCCATCAATGCGGGCGGTGAGCAGGGGTTTATATTTGTTGCCCCACCCCTATATGGCAACAACCTAGAGTGCATTTCATAATTCAAACAGTGACCTTCATCAAGTCACAGTGGATGTAACTAGCCATGACTCCTAGGCCACTATTTGGGCTGCAATCACAAAATTTTTTGTTATAGATATGAGAACTATAGATTTAAGCATTAATGCGGATGTTAGAGACTTCTGAGCATAATCATGTGTGAATGCATAAGAACATAAGCTGCTGGTTCTCTTCCATGTTGTATCTCACTAAACATATCCATTTACTTAAAGCGGGAATGCTCAATATGTGAGGCCACTAATAAAACAATATATTGGAAAATCGAGTAAGTTTACCATCTGCAACAACTATTTCTACAGGGTGCAATAAAGACAACAAAGATGTCAATATTGTTAAAATATTCAAAATAGGCTTCTCAATAAATTCATATGAAAACACAAATTAAAATTAATATGAGAATGCTGAACGCTAGCTTCTTGAGAATAGCATCTACACATAAAACAATGACTGTAATCTCATTTGACCATATGAAAAAGTTCCTAGGCTTCACTATTTGGTTCCTTCTATTCACCCATAGCAAGATTTTCAATTTATTGGCCAATAACCCTCCAAAAAGTTATGTAGCGCTGTGGACAACAATTCTTGTCACAAAAAGTCTACGAGTTACAACTAAATCTATTCTACATTCTAAAAGTTGAAATTTGAACATAGAGACAAGTTCCAAGTGACGTGTTCCAAAATGTTGATTAATTAGCAATTTGCTACCAAGCCAACAATCGCAAGGAAGATGAAAGAAATCATCAATGGTTAAACCGTTATATCAAAACAACAATGTAATTAGAAAGATGGAGAAAAAGCTCAAAATAGTCCCCGGCAAATTTAGTCCAAGAGTTTCACAGTGATCTAATTTAGTCCCTCGACAATTGAAAATAAATCCCGTTTAGTATCCTATTTAAAAACTATTCAAATTAATGGAAAGTATCCGCTACTTGTTTTGCCTTCTAAATTGAGAAGAGCAATTAGTAAAAAGTAATTTATAGTTACTATTTTTTAAATGTAACAAACCGGTTTGGGATGGCTGGTTCAACCGAACCGGCCAACCCCTTCTATTAAATCGCGACCCAACAGAGAGGAGGGTTGGGGTTGTTCGCGAAATAGAGGGAGCGGGCGATGGACGGTTCGTGCGAAAGAGTAAGGCGAGTTTCGTTTTTTCAAATTTAGCAAACGATTGTTTTCAATGATAAGAATTAATCATTCCTTTTCTTTCCTACTGTTAAAGGAGTGATAATTTTGGAAGAAATTTCTGTGGATGAGAAGAACGATTGAGAATAAAAGGGAAGAAGGTTTGTTGAAATTATTCATTCATTTTCTTATAAATTTCGTCGATTTCTTCACTTAAACGTGAATGATATTTTCACAGAGGATAAGGAAGAGATTGAAGTGAAGAAAAAGGAATTTGGGAGAGAAAGGATTTTGAGAGTTTGAGAAGTTCCCATTTGTAAGTGAATGTCTTCTTATAAAATTTTTATTGATATTTTGTTATTGAATCACAATTTTATTTTATATGAAAGTTATTATATGAATTTAGGGTTTTAGGAAAGGGGAGATCAAGTCTTAAGAATTGATCCCGCGAGGATTCAACAAGGAGGAAAAAAAAATGAGAGAAATTGATTCAAGGTTATATCAAGCATTGAAGGCCTGAAAAGTTCAAAGTGGGTAATTATAATTATGAAATTCAATATTTTGCATTATTCTTTCAATATGATATAATATTTTGTATTATAATATTGTTTTCAAGGTTTTATTTTAAGGACTATCATATGTGAAATGTTGAAAGATTAAACGTCTAAATAATTGTAAATATTATTACAACAGAAAATAAAAAAAATCAAATAACATGAATGAAATTATGAATGTGAATGAAAAATAAAGTTATATAGTACATGTATGTATTAAGGAAATATCTAAACAAAGAAATGACATATGAAAATGAATAAAAATGTTCACGATAAATGGAAGAGAAAGGAAAAGGATATATATGAAACTACAGGAGTTCACCCCCTTATGGTACTGGCTGGGGAAGCCATACTCGTGCACGTAAAAAGGAAAAGGAAAAGGTCATGGAAATGAAAAAGTAAATAAAAGAAAAATGATGTACCTTTGGGTACTTTGAGACGGTGCTCCTGTATAAATCAAATGGGAAAAGAAAATATTAAGGAAATATTAAAGTTTCAAAATGCTTTAAATTATTTTTAAAAAAAACGATCAGAGATATATAAATTACTAAAATGAATGAAATAATATTAAGAAATGATAGGACACATATTAAAGAATATTTATATTGATTGTCTTAATAGTTACCATTGAGTTTACATTATAAACTCAAACCCCTAAATTAATGTCTCAGGTAAATCCCCAAAGAAGAAGAAATGGCAATGGCTGAAAGAAAAAAATTCGTCTATAGAAGGCGACGTGCAAATTGTGACGTCCCAGACATCTATAGTGAAAGGATTTATCGACATTTTTTCTTCTCGCTCAGATCAATACAGACATCCAGAAATGATAATTGCATTAAAGAAAATGAATACAATATAAAAATATAATTTACATTACGACATTTCATATTTACAATCAAAAGTGGCGTCCAAAAGAATATACACAATAACCGCTCGAGCTACACAATAATACATGAACCAAAAACTACGAAAAACTATACTAGTGTCTGAAGGAAGCTTCATGCGGGAGGCTCTACGTGTATCACTTGTATCAGTCAGTATTCGGTGTATCAATGAAATCATGGTATCAATATCCGTATCAGTATCAATAACGATCCAATGATGTAAACAGTATGCAATATCAATGAAATCGTGCAGTGACAGTAAACGCGTAAATCCGTCAGTAAATCCATTTAATATCAATGAATCAATTCAATATTAATAAATCCGTTGATATCAATAAATCAGTCAATATCGGTAAATCCATAAAAAAATCATAAGAACAATACTTTACACATGCATTCCAGTACAGTAGTCTTACTTAACAAGTACAAGCGCTGGCTATTAAGGCGTTTTTCAAGGTTAGTATCGATGTTAGTAATCCGTTGGCTCAGTAAATAGAGTCGTCACCCTTTGCACGTCGGCATAGTAATCTCCTTATAACTCTCATCAGTAATCACGTGATCAGTAGAGGATAACACCAAACTCTTTTTAAAGGAAAGCCCGTCTGCCCACAATCCTGTACAGGTCAATTTCCAACCAACAGTTCAATCAGTCTTTAATTATCTTTCAGTAATATAATAGTAGTATCACCATAATATAACAGTAATAGCGACTAGCTATTACTCAAGCACATATCTATATCCATTTTAATGCATTATAACAAAAAGTGCATGATTAAGCTTAATTTAGAAAACTCTTAAAATATCGTACAGTAGACAGAAATTGTTGTAAAATGCATAGTTTCAGAAAATTACCAAATTACCAGAGATCATATAAAACAACATTTCAAAGCTTTTATTATACTGAAGCAACATTTTTCAACATCACAAAAGTTACGCGTTCGATAAAAATCCCACAGAATTCAGAATACTCGGTGAAAAATCTTCAGAAAATACTCAAAATGTGTAAAATCATATTCTTTATAACATACAAAAAGTTACGCGGTAAAAGCTTCGTCAATTTTTCAACATCCAGATAATTTTCTATTCGATAAAAATCCCACAGAATTCAGAATACTCGGTGAAAAATCTTCAGAAAATACTCAAAATGTGTAAAATCATATTCTTTATAACATACAAAAAGTTACGCGGTAAAAGCTTCGTCAATACAAAGATATGCACGTTTTTCGGTAACGGAAATACAAAACTGAGCAGAAAAATACCAAAACTTGAAATCTTCGAAATCAGAAATAGGATTCGGATTCCTTACTGCGAGAAGAACAAATCTCTCAATTGCAACAACGGACGAAAATCGATCCGCGGCCTCCGAAACCAAGCTTTTCCTTCTCTTTCTCTTTCTAACTTTTTCTCTCTTCAAAACGTGCAAACAGTCCTTTATATAAAAAAAAAGATATTTACGTTCGTACATATGACCTTTACGTTCGTACCGGGACGATCGACTCTGTACACATATCGTACGGACGATGTTTTTTGTTCGTCCCTGCACGATCTCCTCTGGCAAAAAAATCTGTTCAGTTCGTACAGACGAACTTGCACTTTACTCAGTTCGTACAGGCAATTCATACAGACTAACCATACAGATTTTCAACAGTTCGTCAGTACTAAGGTCAGTTCGTACAGACTAACTGCACAAAAAAAAATCTAAAATCCAAGAGTTTAACACAAATGACAACATGTAAAATATTTGATGAAAATGATTCGTAGCGACATTGTTTGATTTAGAGTTTTTTTTGTGATTAGTAGCTCTTCATATGTTCAAAAGTTTATGTTAATATGATTTTTGAAATTGTGATGAAATTGTAATATTGTCCGATTTTCAGTTCCCGCCTCGTTAAATCGAGTATCCGGGCCGGGTCGTGACATTAAATTTCTCATTCATCAAAACCTTCAAATAAAATAATTATGTAAACAATTTAGGGTGTGAAACAAGCATGATTAGAGAAGAGTCAAGGCATGCGGCGAATGTCCCTAAAGCAATGGCATGACTCAAAGACAAAAGAGTTATCTGATAGTAAGATTTCCATCGGATTTATGCCTTAAATCTTGAGATTGAGCGAGCAAGTCTCATGAATATAGTTAATCCTAAGATTAGGTAAAATTTAACTTAGACGACAAATCTCATGACTATCCTTCTTCACACCCTCTAATTCTATAAATGTCTTCTCCAATGATCTCTCATTGCAACTTTCATGCTTCTGTCTCACTAAGAGTTTCTAGAATTTAGGGATGAAGAGGAAGGTTATATTTAAAATTATTAATATATAATATTAATTAAATAAGATAAATTAATTGAAGACTTAAATTAATCTTAATAATTAACATTAATTAACAAAAAATGTAATAATTTAAACAAATCAATATTATTTTTTATTTCTTTTTATTAAATAAAATTTATTATGTTTAATTAATTTTATAAACTATTAGTTAATAATTAATTAGTTACTAATTATAACTTAATTAACACAAGCAGAATTGATTAAAAGTTCTATTAAATAAAACTATTTATATTCAATCATATATATATGTGTGTGCGTGGGGGGCGTGGGGGTGTAACTAGGCAATCAAACTAATTTTAATAGTTAATATTTAAATATTTTGCTTCTTAAGGGTTTTTCTCTTCTCTTTCTATAAATTGTCAACATAAAAATTTAACATGAATTGGAAAAAGATATAGGGAATAATTAAATGAGAATATAGATCAATGTAAGAAATATAACTTTACATATAAAATTGCAATACCTAAAATACTTAACTTTTGGTGTTAACCTTAGTTGTGAATTTCGACCTTAGGATTAATTGGAATTAATTTTTAATAATCAAGAACACGATTTAAATTGGAGTACTATAATAGTATGGGACTAAATTTGTCACTTATTAATAATCGAGGGACTATTTTGAGCAATATAACCAATTATGTAAGAATTAACCAAGAGTTGGCTCAGTCATCACCTGTAAGTGGGGCGTCATAGCTTCATTCAATTGATGTAAAATAATGGCAACGATTTATCAAGTTTCAGAATACAACTTACTTGATGAAATTTGATGACTTTGAATGAGAATGATAGAAAAATAATGCACATATTTATTTAAATAAAAAAGGAGTAAATATAGAATGTTTGAAAGAAACTACATGAAAATGAGAGATTTAAAGAAATAAAGAAATATTATAACCCTTTATATGTTGAGAGTGTAAAAATAGGAATTGAGTAACCATAGTTGTGGATCAACAGCCAAAAATGGAATTGGTAAAGTGATCTTAGTGATAGGGTAATAAAAAAAAAAGTTATTTTTTGAAAATAGTCAAAATACTATTATGAATGTCATTAATGATTATGCTCCTCAAATTAAAAGAAACTATTATCAATATTAGATTAAAATGATGGATTAATATAGCATACACATTAGGAAGAGATGATTATTGGTGGTGATTGAAATGGATAGGCCTAGACTATTAGGAGAAAAAGAGAAACAAAATAATGCAAAATTAGAAAATCAAAGACCTAGAGATTGAAGCTTTATTATGCGTGGAGCTGGAAGACATTAGCCAAATATCAAATCAAAGAAAGATGAAAATATTATTTTGAGAAACAAAAAAAATTAGAAAAGCAAATTAAGCATAATCAGGAAATGTATTATATAATCTTTTAGATCAAATAAAAAAAATTTGAAGTTGAATAAATTTTATAGAAGATGCATAAAGTTAAAATGCTAGGATCAAATGAGATACCATTTACAATTTAGAGCTATCAGAGATGTTGCAGTACGATAAATTTTATCGAAGATGCATAAAGATCAAAAGCTAGGATCAAATGAGTTAACATTTACAATTTAGAGCTATCCGAGATGTTGAAGGTGTGTTTAAACAAATCTAATTAATGAAAGCCCAAAAAAGAGAAGAAGATCAAATGACTAAAGAATAAGCAAGTTTACACTAGCCTTTTGGAGCAAAAGAGAAACAAAATAATGCAAAATTATAAAGAGACCAAACTTATGACTCATATAGTGAAATCATAGGAAAGGGTAATAATGGAAGATATGCATAGAAATAATATGTAAACATCTGAGGATCATTTGAGTTAAATATGAAGCACAGATACTTCTAAAAGACCATTGAGTCATATCAAACATTTGACTGTAAGGTACTCTGAGACCCGTAGAAATACTGATTGGCATGCCTGTAATTATCTAAGCATGTTCGGTCAGCCTATTTGGACATACTGGCACAAGAAAATTGAAGGCAAAGACAAATTAATGCCAGTTCCATCAGGATTCATCATAGAAAAGCAACAGAATTCAAGCATCCAAGGAATATTATGAAAATTATAGCTTTCCATACTAGATAACTCAATAAGATAACCTTGGAAGGGAAACTCATACAAGTTTGCAGTCATTATTCAAAAAGCTGACAGCTTTAGCAATCTGATGCAGTCCCCATGCAAAATACTCATCCCTGCATTATTCAGTGTGGAGATAATAAGAAATCTTCTTATTGATAATAATTTATAGAATTAAAAGGAAGTACATCTAAATTGCGTTTAGATTTTTAGCTTTTAATAAGTATTTTACAATAAGTATTTATAGGCCTAGAAAATTTAAACACGGAGACATATTCATTTCACATCTTATGGGTATTTTTGTGGAAGAAATTCAATTACCAACAATGCAATTACTCTAGTACAAGGAGTCCCATCATCACAACATATTTCAAAGTAGTTACTATTTCAAAATATGCATGTACACGGCTGGTTGAAACTGATGATGCTAGAGAATTATTTCCAAAGGGTGCATGCAGCGCTAAGCATGATGAACTGAACACAGATCATCAACATAATCTCTACTGAAACTACCCTTAAAAACAAAAAATTTGTCCCTCAAATTGTTTAAAAAGAACATTTTAGTACAAGATATCACAAGGAAAGATTATATAAAATCAGTTATCTACAAAATCCAGTGGCCGATATATACAGACCATTATCTTCTGTGAATGAAATTTATCGATCATTTTATAGGAAGAAATTCAATTGCAAACAATACAATGACTTTAATACAAGCAGTTCCCTCATCATAATATATTTCAGAAATAGTTATTATTTCAAAAATATGATTGCAAAAGGCTGATTGAAACTGATGATGCTGATAAATTATTTTCAGTTGTGCATGCAAAAGTATGCGCTGCTGAACATAGTGAACGCTATACATATCATCCATCTTAATCTGTATGGAAACTACCAGTAAAATAAAAAACTTGACCCTCACTTTGATTAAAAAGAAATTTTTAGTATACTCCTATACATAAACAACAACAACAACATCAGGCCTTTATCCCACTACGTGGGGTCGACTACATGAATCCTTTTTTCTCCATTATGTCCGGTAAATAGTCAAATTCTCATTTAGATCTAATAAAGAAATGTCATTTCTAATATTTTCTAACCAAATCTTTTTAGATCTACCCCTACCTTTCTTAACATAGATTAAATCTAATACATCTACTCTCCTAACCGGGTCATCGGAAGGCCGCCGTTTTATGTGACCAACCATCTAAGGCAACTCTCTCTAATCTTATCTATCACTGGAGCTACTCCAACCTTTTCACGTATATGCTTATTTCGTATCATGTCTCTAAGAGTAAAGCCACTCATCCACCTAAGCATCCTCATCTCTGCAACACTTAACTTAATATTATGCTTCTCTTTTAATGGCCAACAATTTGCACCATAACGCATTGCAGGTCTAACCATCATCTTATAGAATTTTCCCTTAAGTTTTCGCGGTACTTTTCTATCATAGAACAAGCCCAATGCATTCCTCCACTTCATCCATCTATTTCACAATCACTCTAAACAATAAGATATCTAAAACATGTACTCTTATTAATGACTCGATCGCTCAAAGTGATAAACCCCCACTAGATCTATTGCTACTAAAATTACACTACATGTATTCAATTTTAGATCTACTCAAACGAAAACCTTTAGACTGTAAGGTTGACCTCCATAATTCAAGTTTTCCTTCAACTCCCTCTTTAGTCTTATCAACAAGAAGAATATCGTCAGCAAAAAGCATACACCAGGGAATATCCTCTTGCAAATCTATAGTAAGAACATACATGACTAAAGAAAAAAGATATGGGCTTAAGGCTGATCCTTGATGTAATCCAGCTGAAACAGAAAAATACTTGGTCAAACCACCTTGTGTTTGAACAGAAGTAATAGCTCCAGCACACATATCCCTAATAACTTGAATATAAGCATTATTAATCCCTTTCTTTTTTAGAACTCTCAATAGCGCTTCTCTTGGAACTTTATCATATGCTTTCTCTAAATCAATAAATATCATATGAAGATATTCCTTTGTCTCTCTATAGTTTTCCATCAAACCTCTCAATAAATGAATGACTTCCATAGTAAACCTATCCGACATGAATCCAAATTGATTTTGAGAAATATTAGTATCACGTCGTAATCTATGCTCCATAACTCTCTCCCATAGTTTTAAAGTATGACACATCAACTTATTCCTCTATAATTTGCACAATCTTGTGCATCACCTTTATTCTTAAAGATATGAATCAACACACTCATTCTCCACACATCTGTCATATTTTGTCTTCAAAATAATATTAAAAAGTTTAGTAAGCCAAGAAATTCCTTCATCTACTAAGCATTCAACACCTTTATTGGAATATCATTAGGTCCAATAGTTTTCACACCTTCATTTTCTTTAAACCATCTATAACTTCAGTTTTAGTAATACACCGATAAAAATAAAAAACTATATTTTCATTTAGAGTGTTAAGGTCATTAAAGTCAATTGTATTTTCATAATCATCATTGAAAAGCTTAGCAAAATATCTCATTCACCTTTGTCGAATATTCTCTTCAAAAAAATATTTTTTGATCTTCATCTTTAATGCACTTCACGTGAACTACATCTTTACTACTTCAATCTCTTTATTTGGCTAGCTTATACATATATCTTTCACCCCCTTTAGTATCTAATCTATTATATAAATTAGTAAAAGCTAAAGTCTTTGTATCTCAGAATGATTTCTTAGACTTCTTACGAGCAACTTCATATATTTTCCAATTTTAAAATTTTTTAAATCTATACCAATTTTTATAACTGAGCTTCTTATTTTTTATCTTTTCTTGCACATTTTAATTCTATCGTCAATTATTTTTACTATTAAAAGCTTTTCCTTTTGATACTTCAAGCATATTCTTTGCAACATTTTCAATATTACAAGATATTATTTCCCACATAACATTAGTTTCCTCATACACCGACAAAATCATAAGATCATGAATCTTACTCTCAAATATATTTTTGTTAGAGTTCTTTAAATGTCACCATCTAATCTTAAAACAATGATATATTATATTTTTCATACTTTATCCCTTCATCTTAAAGTCCAAAACTAATAAGCGGTGTTGAGTACATAGATTTTCACTCGGAATAACTTTACAATCTCTGTAATCTAAATGATATTTTTTCTTACAAGAAAATAATAGATCTGAGTTTTACTATATCCATTCTTACAACTGATGAGATGCTCGTCTCTTTCATAAATAAGGTATTAACAATAACAAAATAATAAGCTAGAACAAAATCTAATATAGTCTTACCACCTTCATTAGCCACTCCAAATCCATAGCCACCATGAATACTTTTAAAATCTTCTACTTCTCTACCAACATGTTTATTTAAATCTCCCCCAAAAAAATTCTTTCTTCAAGAGGTAACTTTTGTATTAATTCTTCTAAGTCATTCTAAAATTTTACTTTTGAGCATATATTCAAACCTACTTGACGAGCATAAGCACTTATAATATTAATAATATTATCATCAACAATAATCTTTAAAGCTATAATTCTATCTCCAATTCTATCAATTTTTACAACATTATCTTTCAAACTCTTATCTATAATCACACATACATCATTTCTATTACAACTCCTACCAGAATACCAAAGTTTAAATCCTAAATTATCAATCTTCTTAATCTTCTCTCCCAACTATTTAGTTTTCTGAATGTATAGAATATTTATCTTCATATGAATCATAATATCATTTTTTTTCCATTAATGTGCCAGTAAGTGAACCTAGATTCCACAATCCTAATCTAATTTTAGTTTCATGGACTAGCTTCTTTGCCCACATCCATCTATGATGTGGGAACCCTTGCCTATTTAACACTGCATTCGGGGCACAAATGCAGCAGCCCTTCCACGTTTTTCACTATATTCAGACCATACAGCTCGTCACTTCTAAGGAACGTCCTAGCATTAACACAATATATTAAATGATTTGTGTCATGATTATTCGACAAGTTTTATGCATCGCTTCGACAAGTTTTATGCATCGCTTCGACAAGTTATGATGCACCGACACTTCTCCTCAAAGAGACGTGCAGTGTCCGACACCGTATCCGACACGACACTCGCCCGATACTCCTTCGACACGTATCGGACACGCCGAAAATGTGTCCTATTAAAATATATTAAATACAAATTGGACACGCGTGTCCGACACACGTATCTTAAATATTTTATGATTTTTTTAAAATATAATTTCTTGTATTTGGCGGGATTTAAATTAAATTTCTTATTTTCAATCCACAACACCAAATCAACGTCCGCACTTAATACCCAATTATCGAATATTCTCATTTTCATTTCTTTTTGGCAATGAAGGTATTTTTATCTCCTCTCTTGGTGACTGATAAACGACATCAACGCCTAACTCTCGACATCCTAATACTAATCATTTTAAGCACAAATTCTAGTTAAATGACTTATTATTTATCATTCCTTCTATTGAATATTTGAAACTTCATGTACTAGATAATTTATATTTATGCTTTTGTTGTTGTATTAGACATTTAATGCTTACTTATATTTTGATATTATAAGCTACAAGGCTACAAATGATGTTGTTGTTGTCATTTTTTTTTTGTAATTTCAAATATTATGCTTTGATTGTTTTCTTAATTTTTATGTATGATTTATAAATTATGATACCGTGTCCGCGCCGTACCCGTATCCTGTATTTTTAAGAATTGACGTGTCTCGTATCCATATTGTGTCATATCCGTGTCGCCGTATCCGTATCAGTGCAACATAGGTTATATGCCTATACACGGATAAATTATATAAGAACCATTACCTACAAAATCAAGTGGGTGATATGCGCAGGTCATTATCCTCCATGAATGAGAACAAATTCCAAAGAATCATTAGTTTCAGGAATGATATTACCCTTTTTTCTCTCTTTATTTCAGCAGAACAATTCTTCAAGGAATAATTGATGAGGGAAAAGGAAAGTAAGAAAATGTGATTCTTCAATCTCAAAAGTAGAAAATTATACATCCACAGTGGGAACTCGTAGCTACAACTTTCACTTTGCTGAAAGTTGATGCCCTAAATGTGATGAAACAAAAGTCAATCAGATAACAGCTCTCTACTGATGCATGAAAACAATGATAACACAATGAATGACGAGGTGATATTTTAAGAGTAGCAATAGATAGTAAGAAAATCACAAGTTCAAATTTAGGAGTAATATACCTCTGTGTACCTTCCAAATTCAACTCTTTAATCTTCTCAGATAGAGGCATAACAGGCTCAGTTACAATGTAAATTGTATGTTTTGTCATAGAACCATCCAAAATTTCAGATTCTGTACTATGGACAAAGGATAGTATATTTGGATGTCTAACCTGCAAACAACAGAAAAAGGTATATCAACCTCCAGTTAAAAGATACAAAATTAATAGAACTCATAACGCAGTTAGTAAAAAGATGTTAACCTACGCTAAGGAGAATGCACAAAGCCCCCTAAAAGTTTGGATGTGGCAGGCGAAGATCATGTCTATTACAAGTTTTAAGTGTTATATTTCAAAGCCAAGAAAAATATCTAGCACATCTATCAAATAGCTTAGCACTTTGTCAATTTTTCCATGCTATGCAGCTTGAAAAAAATCCTCAATTACACAAGTAGATTCATATTAGCCAAGTAGCACATAAAATGGTGGTCTTAGACTTCAAGGAGCAGCCTAAAGAAGCTCTGAAGCATCTTTTGATAGGTATAGGTGTTTAAAAACAAAGTATACTGGCCTAACAAACGGAAATTGAAGAATGCACTGACTTCTTCAAAAAGGCATCCTAAAGAAGTACTACAACAACTTTTGGTGATGAAAAGGTGAATAATACATGTATAGCCCAAGGAAATAGGAATTGTGCATCATATCACCCATTTTCATCATTGTCAACATGAATAAGAAATGAAATTTGTGTTTCATTGCAAACAAGATACAATAAAAAATGTAGCTTAAAAAATTGTCAAATCAAACAATTTTCCAACTTTGTGTGTTATTGTCCTATAAAAGTACAAAACTATCAAAATCCTATCAACTTTTGTAAAAGTCCATTATAAATAATAAAACGGTGAACAATCAAATCACTAATCAAAATTGAAAATTATTTTTGAATAGCAAGAATGGCTTACAGTGCGCAATCGCTTAACACCGTTGCGACCAGCAACCAGATGCCCATCCTGGCTGCTACTCCCAGATAAAGAAAATATTGAAACAGATGAAGCGTCATCCTGTTACAACGAAAACATAAGATAATTCAGCCATCCGCAATGCAACTTAAAAATAAAAAAATAAACAAATAAGAAACGCAGCTAAAATCTAACGCATTCATCAGGAGGAATGAGACGTGCGTGAAAAATCAATCAAAATTTCAAGCAACTTTATATATTCAGGAGAAACCATCAGCATAAGTTAATATCTATTCCTTTGTTACCTCACCCTCAAAACAATCTACAATACAACAACAACAACAACATCAAGCCTTTATCCCACTACGTGGGGTCATAATTTTAAAGTATGACACATTAACTTAATACCTCTATAATAGATGATTTTATATCCATATAAAGCTTTACTTGGGAATCAACTTTATCTTGCTAATATCAAAACCACTATAGCTCATCTCATGCGTGCTAATCAAAATACTTGACTAACTTGTAGCTCATCTCAAAGGAATACAAAACAATAATGCTGATGCGAAGAAAAATAAAAAAGCATAAATGTCTGTTGATGGTAAATTCAATCGCAATATTTTGCATGGTTTAATTCTTCCTGCTTGGATAAAAACATACTAAATGTGTACCACTTATTCATAATGCAATTTAAAGACGTTACACTTCCAGCAGCACCATTGAGTTTATTCAGCACTACTAAACGGCTTGTACCTTGCCTTACTGAAAGAAACTGGTCAAGACTCCCAAAAAGACCAATCAGTTAATCTTCAAACCATTCCAAACTGGTTTCAATATCCACATACTACTCAAAAATAGATTTCCAACAAGGCACCTCTCCTGCAAACTCCTACCAGCTTATTCATCCATGCAACCCAAATTACCTCTCCCAACCATTCAGTTCAGTATACAACATACGCAATCCTAAACCTGCACACTTCTAATGACAGATCAAAGCTCTAATAAGTGAAATTCAAAATTCGATGCTCAGATTACTAGCAAGAAGCGTAGCAGGGAAAAAAATAACAAGAAACCATCTAATATTGGAGCTTCCATCAAGGAATTTAAAAAGGAAACTAAAACGTCGGCGATTAGAACCTTAGACGTGCCGCGGTAGTGAGTCCATGATCCCCAGGCCGAGGAATATGGTTCGCCGATATTGTATGGAAAATCTTTCAGCCCCGCGCCAGATCCAGCCACCACGCCCTTAAGAAATTTGAGCATTTTTTAGGTTGATAGGGTTACCAGTGGAGATTCAGATGTAAATCGACAGCGCGATCTGGGAGGGAGAAAGCCGAGAAAGAGCGTTGAGAGACAATAATCTCTCCAATTGCAGAATGTATTTCGTGGCATATATGTAATTACATAGAGAAATTAAACTCTATAAAAAGATATGGAAAAATATAACAATTGTTTATTTCTTAAAAAATAAATTCAACACATCTTGGTCCAAAATCCTCTTATCTTTAATTATAGATTATTTTTTTAAATTTTAAATTGGTCCAAACAAATTTTGATCAAAGTTAAGACTTTATTAGAAAATTTCTTATTTAGCTTAGACATTATTCAAAACCTATTCTAATTATTTTTTTATTGAGACATAATTTAAATAATGTTTGTATATAATTTGAATAAGTTTCATAAATTATTTGAATAAGGTTTATATTCGAACAAGTTTTGAAACAAGGTTCAATAATGATTCAATAGGGGTCGATGCAGTACTGATTTCCAATAGTTTGAATTATGTAGAACACAAGGTTTAATATAATAGGGTGCAATCATAGCAACTAGACATAATAAAGTATAAGTAAACCCTACTTAAAAGTAAAATTATTATTTATTATTAGATAAACATACTCTTCTTTGAGAGGGGCATAATTCTATTGTGAATTTTCCATTGGATTGATTCCTACTTTTAATTGTTATCAATAAGATAGCATTGAGGTGAGAGGGAGACAATGAGAGATTGAAAACAATATATACATAGACTTGAAAATGATAGAGAATAAATTTTCTCTCCACACCCCTCATTTTCTTCACCAAACCCTACGGACAGTACTCTGCTCTACCCTTAGTACTCTGCTCTACCCTTACTACGCCCATTATCTTCTCAGGGAGTCCCTTCTACTAATGTGTATCTACCATATATCTTGTTATTATATTACCCACCACCTCCTCAGCCCTTTATAGGTAGACCTTCCAACTAGACCACAGTTACACTGATGATAGATGGACACATGTTTATTGAGCCTAAGGGTGACATGTATATAATGCATGATTTATATTATTTAGATATTTTAAGAAGTAATATTTTCAACCAAATATTTTATGCATGTTTCATCCATCAAAGCAGCCCACACATAATATATGGGATATCATACATAACAGATTTGATGCTTCATATGTTTCTTCGAAGAAAATCCCTCAGGAAGTTTGTGATATGTGTTTTATTGAGATTAGTAATTAGCAGTATTAGTAACATTTATGCATTTTAATTAATCTAATAAAAAATATTCCAAGTTGTACTTTTCGATATACATAGAGATTTCTACTAATTTCCCCGAGATAATGCAAAGGTCAGAAAAGTTTTTGAGAAGCGTAGTATGACACTATGATTCACTTTCAAAATATATTTATAGACATTAGGAAGTCAATAGAGCAACTATTTTGGATTGGTAACAATGTATGGGCCGAGCTGATCAGAGCTTGGGCCAGTCCAGATTATATTAGGAGGAGTGTCCATAATAGACATAATCGAGCTTCTGACATCGGGGGCATAGGTAGCACCCTCCATACCAAGGGTTCAGTTCCACACACTGAGCACAAGCAATAATTGGTAATAATTTTAATAGATTTTTATTAATTTATTTATTTAGTTATGAATATTAATCTAAGTAAATTATAGAAAGAGATGCTAGGTAGATAACCCATTGTTGCTGAGTTGCACACTCATACCCACCAATGTCAGGAGGACCAACAATGAATGGATGAGCGAGAGAGGAGGGCCTTTATGAGTCTATAAGTTTAGAATATTAATAAAAAATATTTTAAGGGCCCCATATATAATGATTAATCCTACATTATCTTTTGTTGGATGAGTAAACATGGTTTTGAGAGAGTCAAGCTGGAGCTGGTTGGATGAGTAAACATGGTTTCGAGAGAGTCAAGCTGGTGCTGGTGAGGGATCCTCATTTTAAAGATTATTTTGGTTGTTGCATATGGTCATAGGTGGTAGACGAAACACAGAAAGAGAGAGTTTATGGATTAGGCTTGCAGACCTATGCATATGAGAGACAATCCTCTATTTTCTCAAGCTCCAAGCAAGCAGTTTAGAGGGTTTGATTAGTCAACAGGTGGCTGCCCATGTTCAAAAATCATAAGCAAACATGAAAATGCAGGAAAGTCAGATAATAGAGGAGCTTTAGAGAATCAGGGAGTATTTAAGTGGAAAGTAGCCTGCACCTGCATCGCCTTGAGGAGGTGAGGAAAATGTTTCTGAGTAGATTGTTTGTGTTTGTAAATAGTTTATTATTTTTTATGTATAAGGATTGTGTGATTATTGCATAGCTATTGTAATGTTTGAGATCATTTTGAGAAAAGCTTAATTGAAATTTGATGCAATGTGGAAATATTAGCTAAGTTTTTTTTGTTTTATAATATAAAATATTTTTGTTATATTTTATTGTTGTACTGTCGAATAATTGATATGAGAAGATATTTTTTTTATTTGTATTATAGTTTTCTAGCAAAATTCTGACAAGTTTTCATCGGATAGGTCAACACAACAAATTTAGTACTTGAATACTTCCATATTTTTTCGCCAAAGTTTCTCGCAGATTACCGACGAAAAAAGCTGTCGGAATTTCAAGCAAAAAATCAGCGAATTTTTCGCCCAAATTTTTTGTGGACAAATCTACCGCTGATTTCGACGGATTTTTTCACAAGCAATTCGCTAAAAAATTTGATGAAAACTCCACCGGTAATGACTCTAGAAATTGTCTTTTTTCAAGCCTAATTCTATCAAAAATCCACTAGAATAGTTTTCAACGAAAACTTTATGTCACAAATTTGTTTCCGGCACCCGAAATACTGTCAAAATTTAATATGTTAGAAATATGCTAATGATGCTAATTTTCAGTGAATTTTGAAGGTTTTGCAGCTGATTTGTTCATAAAAAATGACTACATTTTATGTAGTGGTTTTGTGTGTTTACATGCTATTAAGGATTTTAATAATATAAATAAATAGCGGTCAATACCCCTATCTAATGTAACCACAAATAAAGAAAAAATAAACTCATAGTGGGCATTTGCCCGCCTTGACAATTGCAAAGTTTTGCCCATACCAAGGCCTTTTAGAATATAAAGAACTACTTGATCGACCATCCCATATTAGATTCTTCAATTCCAAGCAAACCTTTGATATTTTGTACCACACTCTTGACAATTTGGCCAATGCTCTCCTAACTAAAACCATGTCGAATGAGAGCAAGGTGCTTCTTGGTTGCAAGTATTATTAGTGTAAACTAAAATAAGCGTAGGATTTTTGAAATTTTTAGCGCTTAGTTATTAGAAAAATAAATGCGGGGTAAACTAGTGATGTATTTGGAATTCCCTGTCTAGTTTAGTTTCCATATGCATGGAATTCGCCCAATTTGGATGAATTCCAAATACATCGCTTGTGTGAAACATTGTTTGTAGTATCTTGTCAAAGATAGCCACTCCTACCCACTCTTGCGCGCTCCAACCGCTACCAAGTTATACACTTAATTTATTTTACTTCAAACCAAACAAAAATAATAATTATATATATATTTAGTATACTCAATCATATGACTAAAAAATATTTTCAATATACTATATTTTCATTACGCAAATTTTCTTTTACTCGACATTTCTTGATCAACAAAACAAATAGGGCTTCAATATTTTGTAATTGAAAAGCATTACCTACTTTTGATCTTCATTGTGTATAAGCTATGTTACTACATGCTTTTGTATAAGATAATTTTATTTCTTGAGTCAATTCATTACAATATTTGATAACTCATGTGACCTTATCAGGATTCCTAGCACATTGATCCATGATTTTACCATAAATTGACATCATCTTTATTTCTTAGTTGGTCATCAAAAGACAAGCTCTAGTTGATTTTCTGAGCTCATCATATTCTACTTTTAAAAAGTGGTTAGTATTTTTTTTTTTTGGAAATTGTTGGGTGGCCCATTTCATTGTTGTAAGAAGAAGTTACATGAAAAATAAATCCCACAAAAAAACAACAAAATCCTGGGAGAGAAAAACCAAAGGAGTTGCAGCAAACTACAACCCCAGAAAGCTTAAACCAAAGAGAAAAACAAAAAGATTAACAATTCATGTTATAAGTAAAAGATCCCATATAAGTCATAAAATTCATACATGCATCAGACACAACACAACTGCCTAAGCAGAGGGAGACCTTCAAATGGTGTAAAATATATGAATAAGGCCGCAAGGAAAAAATGAGTAGGTTGTAGGCAAAGAGCACCATGGTTGTTAGAACATTGCAAAGGCCATCCAGGATTGATGTGGAAGCAACTTCATCATTATCCAACAAAAAAAAAAAGTAAAGTCCACAAAGAAAACTAGGGATGGAAAAAGCCATTCAACCATCCACCAAACTGCACATAAGCAAGAAAAGCATAATAATTATGAGAGTAGCAATTAATCTCATCAAAACTTTTCTAACTTTTGATTTTATACCAAATAGCCTTCCTGATGTTGCTATGCATTGAGTGGGGCAAAAGAAAGGATCCCTCATAATGTCTCCCTTTCCTTTCACACCATAAGAAATAAATTAAATAACTAACAAATATATAATATAAATTCATGCCTACACCATAAACCAAAGGGTGTTTCAAATTGGGAGCCCGACTAAATGTATTGATGATTACAAATATTAATTATTGAATGCTTTATTTACTTATTCCTGCATCATGTTTAATTTGTATACTTATTATTATGCACTACTAATCTTTTAGTTACAACATACACCGAACAAAAGATTGAAGAACATGCTCAAGACAGTGTAGCGTCAAGGCAAAAGTTAGTTTGTATATTACAAAGTAATATTTTTTATTTTTCTTAAGTGTATTTTTGTATTAGGTGTATGTTGGCTTATGAATCGTGCACACACACACACAGACACAAGGGGATTAAAATTGAATATTATAAGTTTCTATTAATTGTATTGTATGATCTATTCAAATAAAATTTAAATGAGTTTAATTAAAATTAATATATAACTAAGATCATACTGTACGATTAGCTATATTAAGAAACGCGTTGTCAAATTCTGACAACTTAAAATAGACAAATTTAAAATTTAAAAATTGAATTAATAATAATGTATGAATTGCTTCATATTGTACAATATTTAATTAAACTTGCCTAATTAAGTTTGATAATTAAGATTTTAATCAGATCTGTATTAATTATAAATCATATTGTACGATCCATATATCATATAGTATGGGTGGCTGATTTTTTATTTAAACTAATAATACTGGGCGATTTTCCAATCGTACATGACAATTTTAACGACATTGAACTAATCATATTATATGATTTGAATATTGTATTGCATGATCATAAGCGACTAAATTAAAAATTAGGTTTTCCATGAACCCTCTTAATAAACTCTTTCTTGTTTTTAGGAAAGAGTCTTTGGGCAATCAAGGGATATTCTCTTTTCTTGAGAGAACCTTTTTGTATATGTTTAAGAATATTTTGTGTGCATGTGAGAGTGCATATAGTCTAAAGCGAGTCCAAGGGGTATGTTTATATGTTCTAAAAATCTAGAAATTTTCCCCTATGACATCACGACACCAAAGGAGGTAGCATTGCGGCGTCGATCTCTCTGGAACTTTGTGAACTAATTTAGCATGGTGGCGCTGCGATACTGTGGGCTTCTGGAGGGAGCACTACAATACGTATGAATGGGTGTTGTAGTGCTACCCCTTAATTTTATATTTAAATATCCTTTTCCAGTAAGATTGATCCATTCCATTCTCTTAGAGGCACCTGACGAGATAGAGAGAGGAGGATTTCTAGAAAGAGAAAGCCAATTTTGGGTGACTTTACTCTTTTTTTAGTTGAAAGTTGATCGACTCACAAGGTATGTTGTATTGTACCTCTTAATTAGTTTTCAAAAATAAAAAAATTTCTATATCTTTTTATTTAAATTATATTTTTGTAGTAAGCAAATGAGAATAATTTCACATTTGCAAACCATTCATGGCATAACTTTTTTTATGCTATAGAGACATTGATTCTAAATATTTAGGTATTTTTCTAAAAATTTTACATGGGGAATTTTGGGATTTCATTATTTTAATTGATTAAAAAATATGCTGACTTTAAAAAATTAAGTTATAATATAATTAAAACTTCAAAATAATATTGTGAACAATCTTTGATAATTTAATTATATTTTGAAATAATGAATTTCTACTCAATAGGGTATTCGGTTGCCTACCGTGAAGGCATTTTAGTAAATTTTGAAATGAGTTTATCTATGTTTCTATTATTTTAATTCAATTATATGCATGATTATTTTATTGAATTTGGTGATTCTAAGGAGTTTTGATGTGAGAGGAGGAAGTTCTATTCTGGAGAAAAATGCACAGGAAGTCATAAGGACTTAAATTTTTAAATATCTCATATGTGCTTAAGCATTGGGAGTCATAAGGGCCCATGTTTTGTTATGTTAGCGCAAAAAGAGTTATGAGGGTTTGACTTTTAATATTTATTTTTGATGGAAGGTATAAGGACCTAAGGAAAATCTGTTATTTTATGCTCTCATATATAAAGTGCTACTTTATTTATTTTTCTACATTATTATTTAACGTTTTGTTAATTACAAGCATTGTTCTAATACTTGGTTTAGCATAATAATTTTATTCATTAATAACATTTAAATTTGGTAAAAAGAATTTAAAATTTTAGATCGACAATGGCGGCCTATTGAGCTATGTTTGCTCATATTTTATCTGCATTTCTATTTCAGGGTCTGGAAGAGTTAAGGAACCAGTTGAATAGCTGAGTCATGATTTGATCAGTCTTAGTTGTATATGTAATTTTTTTTTATATATATTCATGGGAAATTATTTATGTATGCTTTGTTTTGTATTATATTTTGTAGTTATGTACTGCAGCATTTTGATAAGCAATATATAGAATTTTGGATAAGAAATACAAAGAGGCGAATGTAGTTCTCATTATAATGAGAAGCAGCTGAATACCAACTTCTAAAAGCAACAATAGAGAGATGATATAATGTACTATAGTGCAAATGTTATATATATATATATATATATATATATATATTGATGCATTACCCGAGCAGGCACAAGCAGGACTGGCTGGCGGTTGTGGGCGGGTGGGCATGCAGGTAGGTGGGCAAAGGGGCCTCCGTGAGTGGGGGCAACGTTGGCGTGCGGGCAACAAAATTTTTATTGATTTTTTCTTTTAATTTTTATGGCAGAAATTTTCAGTCAGAATGCCACAGAAAATTTTTTCCTTCAAAAATTTTAGTCGGTTTTAATTTTCCTACGCGGCTTTTAACGGTGGAAAATTTTCCACCATAAAGGCATCGAAAAAGACCAAATATGCCAGAAAATTAGCAATTTCCACTGGAAAAATCCACCATTAACAAGTGATTTTCCTGTAGTGATTTATCACTATTTTTTATGTAAATAAATATAGTAATATCAGCCCATCTTTTTGTTATATTGATCCTTTTTTATAAATAAAATGATATGAAAAAGTATTGGATGAGCAAGAATATGATGAGATAATGTATCATCAAATACACTCTCTTTCATTAACTAAGAAAATGTTCACTTAATTAACATTTTGATTGCTTACTTCACTATCAATGTGAGGTCAATCACAAGTCTTTTGATTATATTTATTTAGATGTTAGGTGGATTACAAAGACACTAATGTCGAACAATTAGAAAGTATGCATTCTTGACAAAATGGATTTGTTTGCATACCAATATATTTAGATAATCACATATTTCTACATATGTAATTTATAGGTATTGATCAGATATGTTCCATCAAGTATCTCGATTAGGAGGGTCACCTAGCCAAGGCGGCGCTCGCCCTCAAGGAGCATGACCTCACTAGAGCTATTATAGTTCAATACCTACTCCCCTAGCAGGAGATTGCGACATGTAGACTCATCTGGTGCAAACGAATGAAGACTGATATTACTCTTGTTGAGCTCCCCCAAGGGAGTCCACCAAATTAGCATGTGCTTTGAGGATCACTCACCTTGACCAACCCATCTCACCTACAGTAGCTCTTAGTGACTAAGGCCATCTACTTATCAATAACATCCATGGTGAAACTCTAAGTGACTTGTCATTGGATTGCAGCTACCCTCCTCTAGGGCACTTGACCCTCGTTCCCCGGGATTCAACGTTCATTCTTGGGTACTCATCATTCCCAAGAACTTGTTGACACTGAGTCGCCCTGTAACCCAGATCCTGAAGATTGGCTCAAGATGCTTGCCTCGAAGACTTATCCAGGGTATTCGCCACATATGAGGTGGCTACACTAGAATAATAGATCCACATGTATACTATATAGCTGGTCCACATGTTTGTGGTAGTTTGTATTAATCATATCATTTGCTATTTTATATCTTTCCTAGGTGTAGCCTTTCCTATATGCCATTTTGATTCTATAAATAAAGGGTGAAGAGATATTTTTTTGGATATTTTTTTCTTTCTTCCGGATCCTTTGCTGCCATTGTGTTTATTTCTAAGATAGTATATAACATTTCTACTGATTGTCTATACTCACTAGCCCCAACTTACATAGTTTTCTAACCATAACTTGTTAACAACTTTCTAGTAGGATCATCTGTCATCCATAGAAAAGTTTGGATCAAATATCCTCTATGGTGCGATGAGCGTGAATTAACTAACAACATTTGCCCGCCTCATAATAAAGTTTTATCAAACTTTTGTAAGTAAATTTTTTTATGCACTTAATTGTAATCATTCTTGTAACATTGAGCTTTGATTTAAGCTTATAAATACAAAGTTAGAGGAAGAGCTCGACATATCCTAAAATGCTCATGTCCCATGCATCAGCATCATACTTCCAAACATGAAATCTAATAATACTCTTAGATTCCCCTTCAGTTTTTTTTTTTTTTCTCCTCTTTCTCTTCAAACTTCAATCGTGTTTGCCAATAAGAACATATGGTGTTACCCATAAACAGATTTTCATATAATAAAATTAATGATCAAAATAGAATGATGATTGTTCAAAATGCAAGACGGTTGTATAATAACATTAAGAAAATTATTTTGTAATGCAACGACATGACACTAAAAGTCATGTTTCATCCTAAGAAACAATGGCATTTTTTAATGTTTGATTAATTGTCCTTCTATTTTGACAATTTATCTTACACTTTTGACATAAAAGACATGAACAACACCATAAAAATACATCTTAACTCTTAAAGTTTTTGAATCCATACTGTTATATATAAACTCAGCTTCCCTTATATATGATTTCATTGCTTTCTTAAACTAAAATACTAAGCCTTCTCTGTACAACTCAGAAGCCACTTAGCCCACTCACTATCAAAATCCAAATCAGTTGAAGGCGACGACTTTGTGTTGGAGTTTTCAATGCCGCCATTCTCCTCTATTTGGGGTTCAGCGGAAAGAAGCATGGATTCCATGGGACACAACTGATCTGCAACTAGCGTAAGTAAAGGCTGAGATGAGTTTGCTTGGCAGCTGGAAGTAGTAGTTGTACTGCTTGTATTATTTATAGGAGCTGAGGAATATTTCTTGTCCAAGTGGGTGTTAGTCCCCATGGTTTTGCATATATGATGCAAGCTGTAGATAACCTCATATTTTGGAGGATTGCAGTCGTTGTCTTCTTTCTGTTGAATAGTCTTCGTCGCTGGGCAACCTTGATCTTTGTTATGAGTGCACTTGTAGTAGCTTCTGAACAGCGAAAAAAAGGACAAATTTTCATGATATCTGCATGTTCTAGGGCTGGTTAATTATGCTTTTTTGCATTTATTTTGATTGTTTTCTTTTCTAATATTTTGTTATAAATTGTTCAATATTCATTTTATTATAATTTTTTTTTAAGCAATTGGCTTTTGTTAGAAGTGGGACAAATCTAGGTTTATTTTGATGATAGGCTTTATAGAAAAAAAAAAAAACAAATAACAGAAATAATAAAATCAATAAAAAATTATATTTAGAAATTCAGCTTAGATTGAGGCTATATTATGAACAAACCAATTACTCAATCATTTACAGAAATGTGGTGGTTCTATGGGATAGCATCATTCTATAGGTGATTTTTCGAGAAATTTAGCATTTATAGCCCCAATTACTGAAATTGTTAAAGTGGACTACTTCTATTGGGACAATACAATTCAATCAAGCTTCAATCACTTGGAGTGACAAGTCTCATCTACATTGATATTGGTCCTTCTTGATTTTGGTCAAGTGTTCCAAGTAGAATGCAATGCTTTGAATGTTGGCATCAGAGCGATAGCATCATTCTATAGGTGATTTTTCGAGAAATTTAGCATTTATAGCCCCAATTACTGAAATTGTTAAAGTGGACTACTTCTATTGGGACAATACAATTCAATCAAGCTTCAATCACTTGGAGTGACAAGTCTCATCTACATTGATATTGGTCCTTCTTGATTTTGGTCAAGTGTTCCAAGTAGAATGCAATGCTTTGAATGTTGGCATCAGAGCCTGTCCTTAGACAAGGAGGACATCCCATTGTTTTATTCAATGAGAAACTTAATGTTACTTTGTAGAAATACTCAACCTACAACGAAGCAAACTAAATCAAGCTTCGACATATTCTAGCTTGAGCTCGTTTCCCTTGTTCAAGCTTGGCTTGATAAGATATGAGCTTTTATGATCTCTGTTAGAGCTCGAGCTCATTTAAGAAACTAATATTTGAGCTCAGAGCGGCTCCC